TATATATATGATTGAAGATCCTCAGATGTCTTTTCATATTTAAGGGTGGTCAAGAGGAGATCAAGAGCTTATCTAACCTCTAGATTTCTTTGTCTTGGATCTAGTTATTTAAAGAACAATCTTTCACTTCCTTGTCTAGGGGAGGAGGGTGGGCAATAAGCCCAGCTGCCAGTGTTTTGGGAGCCTACAGAGAGAATCAGACATGAGGCTCACCATTCGTTATGCAGGTTTCACTCAGCCCCTCTATTTTCAGTAAGAGTCCTCATCTCCTTCCTCACCTACACCAGTTTCCTTTGAGCCCACAGCCTTTCTCGTTTAGCCTCTTCAGAGAGCAGCAGGCCTTCTGTTTTGTATAGGAGAAAGTCAGTTGCCTAGCTCTGAGTTTGAGGAATGAGACACTATTCTCTATAGATTTTCAATGCACCTGCCTGTTTTTTCAGTCCCACCTCAGACTTCCAAAGTGCTAGGATTACAGATGTGAGCCACTGTGCCCAGCCCTTTGCCCATTTTTTAATGAGGTGGTTTTTTTGTTTGTTGAATTGTTTAATTTTCTTATAGATTCTGAATATTAGACCTTCATTGAATGCCAAGTTTGTGACTATTTTCTCCCATTCTGTAGGTTGTCTGTTTACTCTGTTGTTTCTTTTGTTTTACAGAAGCTCTGTAGTTTAATTAGGTCTCACTTGTCAATTTTTGTTATCAACTTTGTCAAACATCAGGTGGTTGTAGGTGTGTGGCTTTATTTCTGAGTTCTCTGTCCTGTTCCATTGGTCTATGGTGTCTGTTTTTGTACCAGTACAATGCTGTTTTGGTTACCGTAGTGTATCTGTGGTTTCAGCGTCTATGGATTCAACCAATTGTGGATTGAAAATATTTGAACAAAAAAATGCATCTGTACCAAATATGGACACACTTTTTTCCTTGCTGTTATATTCCCTGAATAATATGACAATCACTTTCATAATATTAGGTATTATAAGTAATCTAGAGATGATTGAAAGTATATGGGAGGGAAGTGCATAGGTTATATGCAAATACTACACAATTTTACATCAGGAATTTGAGCATCTCTGGATTTTGGTATCCGAAGGAAGTCCTGGAACTAATCCTCCATGGATACTGAGAGACAACTATACGTGGTTGCTTTTTAAGAGTTGTTGGTCGGACGCGGTGGCTCAGGCCTGTAATCCCAGCACTTTGGGAGGCCAAGGTGGGCTGATCATGAGGTCAGGAGCTTGAGACCATCCTGGCCAACGGTGAAACCGTGTCTCTACTAAAAATACAAAAAATTAGCCAGGCATGGTGGTGGGTGCCTGTAATCCCAGCTACTCGGGAAGCTGAGGCGGGAGAATGGCATGAAAGCAGGAGGTGGAGGTTGCAGTGAGCTGAGATCGTGCCACTGCACTCCATCCTGGGCTACAGAGCAAGACTCCATCTCAAAAATAAAAAATAAAAATAAAAAAAAGAAAAGAAAAAAGAATTGTTAATACCTGTATTGCATATACAACATTAACCGAAAATTCTTTGCTTAAGCAAGTAAGGGAATTCACCTACTGATACAACAAAACAAATCCATAGCCAGGATTGGCTAAAGATATCTGTGTCTCAGACAAAGATATCATTAAGACTGGCCCTCCATTTTCACTGCCGTCAAGTGCTATTTTCCTGACAGCTTCAGCCTTGCATGTTCCCAGTTTTAGCTTCCAAGGCAAGAAAGAATCTTTCCTTCCTAATAGTTAAACAATTCCAAAATAACATTTCATTAGCCATGATACATACCACATACCCCGCCTACTTGTCTCCCCACTCCCAACAAATTACCCTGGCCATGGGGATGTTAAACTTATTGTGGCCAGATCTGGGCCACATGGCCAAACCTGGAGCCAAGCATGAAGTACTTCTACTTGGAACACATGGTAGTGCCTACGGGAAGTAAGTTTATTAGAAGATGCCTCTACACCTTTGTTGCCCAACCATGCCAGATAATAGAACAACTTCATTTGAAGCCCATGTGAGCAGATAGTGGTGACAGCTGCAGGAAACTTCATGTTATAAAAAGAATAGACTATTTACATGACTCAGGTAGTTATATTATAGTAAACCAGCCAGGGGTAATAGTAAAGTACTTTATGACAGATACTTCTGTAAATCTTTCCTCATCTTTGATTGTACATTTTGTCTTCCTCTGAATTACCTATCATTTGTATTCATTTTATAATTTATTGGTTAATTGGATTGTAACTCTTAAGGCATCCAAATCAAGAAGGCATCGTCAAGTCAAACTTGACTCTTCTGACTGTGATTCTGCATCTGGTCAAGGGCAAGTCAAAGCAACTAGGAAAAAAGAGAAGAAAGAAAGATTGAAACCAGCAGGAAGGAAGATGTCTTTCAGAAACAAAGGTAATTTTTTAAAGTCTTACTAAGACTCAACAAAGGAGAATGGGTTTTATTTACAACTTTGCCTCATCTTTATTTCGTTGTTAAGAAGGATTAGATACTTGTTTGAGAACATTTTTGTGAGATTTAATGTTAAAAATAAATTGTTAGATTCTTGGAAACTTATTGCTGGAAAGGGACCCTAGGAATCATATCAAATGTATCATTTTATAGGTGATGAAATTTTGACCTGGCCAGGTGCTGTGGCTCATGCCTGTAATCCCAGCACTTTGGGAGGCCTAAGTGGGTGGATCACTTGAGGTCAGGAGTTCGAGTCCAGCCTAGCCAACATGGTGAAACCCCGTCTCTACTAAAAATATAAAAGCTGGGCATGGTAGTGCATGCCTGTAATCCCAGCTACTTGGCAGGCTGAGGCACGAGAATTGCTTGAACCTGGAAGGTGGAGGTTGCAGTGAGCTGAGATCATGCACTTCAGTCCAGCGTAGGTGACAGAGCAAGACTGTCTCAAAACAAAAAACAAAAAGAAAGAAATTTAGGCCTATAGAGATTAAATAACTTGTCTAAAGTGATAATTAATAGCTAGATAGTTATGAAATCAGTCTAGAATTATCCAGTGCATTTTTTTTTTTTTTGAGATGCAGTTTTGCTCTTCTTGCCCACGCTGGAGTGCAATGGCACGATCTCAGCTCATTGCAACCTCCGCCTCCCGGGTTCAAGTGATTTTGCTGTCTCAGCCTCCCAAGTAGCTGAGACTACAGGCACCCACCTCCACACCTGAGTAATTTTTTTTTTTTGTATTTTTAGTAGAGACGGGGTTTCACTATGTTGGCCAGGCTGGTCTTGAACTCCTGATCTCGTGATTCACTGGCCTCGACCTCCCAAAGTGCTGGGATTACAGGCGTGAGCCCCTGCACCCAGCAATAGTTTGTTTTTTTAAAAAATTGTATGAATAATATATATGTACCCTACATAAATTTGGAATTTGATTAACAGGTTTACTTGGGGTGAGAAAAAGAGCATTAGAAACATTAGTAAATATTTAATACTAATACGAAATTCACTCCTAACTACTGCAGGAATATATGAAGATAAGTTAACAGCCTTTTAGCATTTTTTCCCCCTTTATTGAAGCAGTGGAAGGAGAATTGAAGTTAAGTACCTTTAATATGTCCCAGATATGATTAAGTACTATAACAGTAGCTTGAAGTGCACTGAGAATTCAGAGGAGATACCATATTTGTTAAGTATGATCGAGAAATAGTTCAAAAGGAAATTTTTCTACTTCCTTTCACAATGCTGAAGGATATTGTGAAGAAAATTGTTAGACTAAACTCATGAGTATTACTGAAAAAATCCTAAGTCATATGTATCAAAAATAATCCTAGACACAAAAACAACTGAGTACACTTATTTCAGGATGCATTCAGAATCTATTAATATGATTTACCACATCAATAGGTTAAAGGGGAAAATGTGAATTTATTTTAATAGTTACCAAAGAAGACATTTGATAATATCCAGCATCCATTCTTTTTTTTTGAGACAGAGTCTCGTTCTGTCATCCAGGTTGGAGTGCAGTGGCCGGATCTCAGCTCACTGCAAGCTCCGCCT